AATAAATAATGTGAAAACTCACCATGTACACAGATCCTTCTTAATAAAACAATTCTAGAGTATATTCAACATTTCCTTAATCAGTATAAAACAACATTAAATTTCACTTTTATAGATTGAATATTAGTTTCATTGACACAAGAGGTAAGCAGCTGGAAGCAAAAATAATGTCAAATCTAATTAACTTTAATTTCTAAATTATGCTTTAATGATGAAACATTGTATCTTTATCTTGTTTAGGGTAGGGCTCCATTGGAAATAAGCTCTCCAGCTTTAATGGGTTATCCTGGTATCAACTAGTCACTATCTAAAAATATGGTTTCCTGAATATTTATTTATAAATCTATTTAAAATTTATGGATTCCCAAATATTGTCTTTCAAATGATTATGTATATTTATGTGTATTTGTTTTATGTATGATGACATATGATACCAAATAAATGATGATGATGATGATGTTAATAATAATTATAAGTAAAGATAAAGATTAGTCCTTACGAAATTTTTCTTTGCTCAACACCATTAAATGGATGATTAATCCTGGTATGATTCCATGAAAGTAAATAATTTTGTACATGCACTCAGAGTCTCATGGCAAATAATGTGTTAGGAGAATTTTTACGTACTTACAATTTTTTAACAGTTTTAGCCTTTTTAATGAAATATTGTCATAACTTTATAAGAAATCAGAAAATTTAAGCATATTCTCATAAACATGGTTTACTCAATTCATACAGATTTTGGATTCAAATGTTTGTTGCACTAAATTTTCCATTCATACAGTAGTTGTAAAATAAATGCAGTCCTCGTACACGTGACGAAGACATAGCTTTATCCAATCAGGTATTACAAACAGCTGTTTGTTAACGTCCTTACTAAATGAATAAGAGGAAGGGCTTTAAATAAGAATACAGATTTATCTTCCCTTGATTAAATCTCGTCCTTTGAGCAACGCATCATGCATCTCAAAGTATTATACATATTCTTTCTGTTCTATAGTGTTGGTTGTGTTTCTTGCCAGAAGACAACAAATATGACAAACCAAGAGACCGTATCTGATCTGCAGAATAGAGTGTCTATACTGGAGAAAACTTTGTCAAAAATGCTAACCGGAAAGGACAACATAAACATCACAACTGCGAGAGTCTCGAAGGTGGCAAGTGGAGGTATGATGTCAAGATTTTTGTATTGACTTCTTCTGAAACTGTTAGCCTTGAAATGATGGAAATTAAAATTTCATGATGCCATGTGAAATACTTTATCTTAATGCAAAGAAAAAAGTTCCTTTGGCCAAGCATAATTTACTTAAATTTCTAACCCTCCAATCAGAAATATTCTACGAAATTATACAGAAGTTTCTTTTGAAGAAAGGACCTCGTCAAATAATACAAAGAGTATTGAACTTACTTAAATATGTACGGAACCATGACAATTGACTTATTCAATAATTATATTGCAATAAAATCTTAAAAATCAACATATATCCACAAGACTACACTGATGCATGCTTCATTAGAGTAGCAGAGCTAAAAGTCTTGATCAATTTAGAAATATTTATATTGATTCTCCTTTTAAAAATAGAATAACCGTTCACGGTAGCTCAGTCGGTAGAGCGCTCGCTTCGTGTTCGGGAGGTCGTGAGTTCGAATCTCGGCCGAGACTGACCTTAGTCGATAGAAAAATGGGTAGCAACTATTCCTTCGATATGCGCTCGGCACTCTGAAGTGAAAGTTGCGGGTCCTTCGGATGAGACCTTAAAAACCGAGGCCCCGTGTCACGGCAGGCGTTGGCACGATAAAGATCCCTCAATGCTAAATGGCACTGAGTGCCGAGTAAAGGTCAAAATTTGAAGCCCTTCATCGGTATATGGTGACGTCTCTATATGAGTAATAATAATAATAATAATAATAATACTTTATTTAAAGAGGGTAACCCGATTAGTGCAATGCACTAGTCCTCCTCGGGGCCCTCTAAACATATTAATAATAATACAATTACATGTATGAAAACATTGTACACTAATTAAATAATACAACATGATGGAAAAATACAAGTACAATTAAAAGTTTAGGACATGGAATTACGTTACTTGAACAGTGTTGCGGCAAGTTATAATAAATTTTTCCACATTTTTACGAAGTGTGTTTACAGTTGGTGAAAATCGTATATACAAAGGTAATTTGTTCCATAAATGAACACCGGAATAATGAAAAGAATTTTTAAATTGATTTGTTCGATATTTCGGTAGACGAAGGTCATAGTTGGTTTCAGATCGTAAAACATAATTATTAGAAGAAATAAATTCAAAAGAGTCTCTTAAATAATCAGGTGCCATACCATGAAGTGTTTTGTACAGTAATACATATTTATGAAAATCAATCAACTCATATATGGTAAGCCATCCAAGTTTTTCAAATAATGGTAGTGAAGGGGCATCATAAGCCACATCTAATATAATCCGGGCTGCCCTTTTTTGCAATTTAAAAACTCTATCTATGCCAGCACCTGGCGCATTACCCCAAATAGTTAGACAATAATTTAAAGAAGGCAGAATGTAGGCATTATAGAATAGTTTTCTTGTGTGTAATGGGAGAAATTTTTTAATTCTGCGTAAGGTATATAATTTATACGTCAAAGATTTACAAACTGAGTCAATATGGTAATTATAGCGCAATGAATGATCAATATATACTCCCAAAAGTTTTTCAGATTCAACATTTTCAATTAATTTGTTTGAAGCATATAAATTTAATTCAGGAGAATTTATCTTTGATTTTCTATGTTGAGTTCCCATAAGCATACATTTTGTCTTATTGGTATTCAACACCATTTGATTTTTGGAACACCAATTTTCAATCTCACACAAATCAAAGTTAAGGGCATTCTCAATACCTTCTACATTTTTATGATGTGTATGTAAGGTTGCATCATCAGCAAACATATCAATATCTGTTCTATTTACATGTAAAGGGAGATCATTTATATACAATAAAAATAATAGGGGACCTAAGATAGATCCCTGGGGCACTCCTGCTGTGACAGGCAAGAAATCAGAGGAATATGTACCTATCTTTACACACTGAGACCTTGAGGTTAGATAAGAATGAAACCATTTAATAGCCATTTGGTCAAAGTGATATGATTGAAGTTTACTTATAAGGATATCATGATTTACCAAATCAAATGCCTTGCAAAAATCAAGGAAAGTTATGCCTACTAGATTTCCTTGGTCCATAGCTTGTAACCAATTATCTGTTAGTTTTGTTAGAGCCGTTTGACATGAATGAAATTCTCGAAATCCAGATTGTGATTTAAATAAAAGATCAAAGCTAGAGGTAAAGTTACGTATTTGATTGGCTATGTGTTTTTCAACTAATTTTGATAATGTTGGAAGAATGGATATGGGTCTGTAGTTCCCTGGATCTGCGTGGTCGCCATTTTTGAAAATAGGAGTGACTTTTGCTTGTTTTAAATGGGATGGAAATACACCATTAGTAATGCTAGCATTTATAAGATGTGTAATAGATTTGCATATAACATTTACCGAAAGTTTTAGTAGACGAGGTCCAATAAAGTCAATGCCTGCTGACTTGTTCACATCAAGTGTATTCAACATATTAAATACTTCAAACTCACTTATTTGATTTATACTGAAAAAATTTTCTTTCCCTAGTTTAGTTTCTGTAAATTGATTTAATAATTCTGAATCAAAACTTTGTACTGATATATTTGCTAATAACTTACAGGATATTTCTGTAAAGTGTTTGTTAAAAATATCAACAATATCCTGTAAATTTTCAAAATCCAAACCATTTTGTGTAATACGGTTAGGTGTAAAATTTTTGGAATCGGATGCCAAATGGTTTAAATAACTCCACATTTCTTTAGGACTTGAACTTTCTTCAATTGCTGATTTGTAATACTTTGATTTGGCTTGATCTATTAATTGTGTGACTTTATTTCTCCAAAATTTGTAATTTTCTGAATTTCTTTGTAGATGGTATGTATCACGTAAAAGTCTAGCATCATTTATTTCCTGTGTAAGCCATTTAGGTCGAATTTCAGTCTTGACTCTTTTAGTTTTTACTTTGGCATGTTTGTTAAGAATATCATTAAATAATTCATAAAATTTATTCAATATTTCGTTTGGGTCTTTTAGTTCAAGAAGACTGTTAAAATTTGCATTTTCTAAATCTCTTAGAAACTTATTTTCATTGAATTTTTTAAAATCTCGATATTGGATTTCAGTATGTTTTCCCTTACGCTGTATGCAGTTAGTTTTCCGTGTCAAACATACAGGGTAGTGGTCAGATATAGCAATAGGGGGCACACTGGTTTCACATATGTTTTCTGGTTTGGTTGTATAAAAATGATCAATTAAGGTACTTGAGGTACTTGTTATTCTAGTTGGAACAGTAATTATCTGTGAAAATCCAAACTCCTCTAAAGCAGATGTCCAGTATTGTGGGGGGTCTTTCATTAAATCAATATTAAAATCACCTGCTAGAATTATTTCAGTATCATCACAGCAGGAGGCACGGTTCTCGAATGGGACGTAAAACAACATACAATCAATCAATCAATAAAAATAGAATAACCATTTATTCAAATTGAGATAATGACTTATACTGGGGTATTACGTGTACCTTCTTTCTGAGGGGGAAGACCAAATAACAATATGTTTTTTTATTGGGTATATTAAAAAAATATACTGGTGAAATAGTAGATGCATTTCTGCTTCCCATGATGTAGTTAATACAATAACCTTTGATTCATATCAATATATGTTGCATATTATCAATTTACGTGAAATAAAAGGGTTTTTAAATTTCTTTTAATGACATGATTTTTTTTCTTATATAAGTATATGTGTATGTTGCATTTGAACAGAATGTATCTGAAATAGATTCTAGACGAGTTAACAAAAATTTCATGTTATTTAGGACTTCCTATCTTCAATAACACTGCTGTGGTATTTTGCGCAAGGAGCAGTAGCAATATGGGTGGTATAAGCACTGAATACATTCTGAAGTTCCCTACAGTCATTACAAATGTAGGAAACCACTACAACCCAACTGACGGAATCTTTATCGCACCTGTTCACGGTCTTTACCTGTTCTATTGGACCATGCAATGTTACCACAGTGGCAGCGCTCACTGCAGTACCGCTCTAAAGATAGACAACTCATTGAAAGGAAAAATTCGATCCGGGGAAAATGCTGGAAGTTATTACCATACTGGGTCCAACACAGTTATCGTTGAGGTGGAAGCTGGAGAGCACGTGTGGATTGAAAATGTACATTACTCTAATGCTGACATTTACGCTTATTCCTCATTTGGGGGAACTCTTTTGTCCATTTTATAAACATCTTGAACTCTTCAGTTTGTGGATATATGTTATCAAGAAATTACAGTCAGACTTTGATTGATTCTAATTTTTGTCTACATTTTAAAGATAAAGTTTAGAAATGTTTTCAAACAAAGTATTATTATTTTTACGGACTTTAAAGTTGTTTTTAACGGAAGATCTGCAAAAAATAAACACTGATTTTCTCTTATTGGAAATAAGATAGCAGGCCATGAAATGTAGCTAGTTATTTAGGTTTGTGCATTGGTGATTCAAATAGGATACCTGTAATTTACGCTGACCACAAAGTAGAGCTGATTAAAAATTAAATTTTTATTTATCAATCATGTTTACCTATATTTCTGCTGAAGGACTGCAAAAGCAATTTGATTAAAAATGATTTTATCAGAGAATTGAGGTTTTCTTTTTATATGAATAAATTGCATAGTTGGGTATACACCTTTAATGAATTTATGAAGGTTTAAAACACTTAAAATGTAAAGTAAAGAAAGAGATGTCGTAGAGAGTAAAGAAACAGTGTTTAAGAATTGTTACTTCATGCTGTGAAATCATTTATATTCGTGGGGGTTTCAATTTCGTAGTTTTCATCTAAAAAGATCCACGAAAAAAAGGATCAGTGCACTTAAGCTATGAGAGTTGGATCCCGGTGCTTTGCCAATAATAAATTTCCGAAATTTATAAACTTTTTGAGTCAGAATTATTAAACAATATCTTAAGAGCAGGGTTTGATATATTATATCACATAAAAATATTAAATAATGCCGAGCGACACTGGTTTTTGCGACAGGGGTCTAGCAGTTTTGTCACATTTCTATTGTTATTCATATGCATACCAGTTTTCAACGACATTGTTTACATCGAGCCGCAACTTGTCCATTCTTCTCATTTACACAGAATGTGTATTTTTATTTAAACTTATACATATCCAAAGGGCAATGTTGGACAATTTGCGGCTCATATGTAATTTTTTTAAAAATTCTCCAAACTACGGTTGGGTTAGCTACTAAATTAACAGGTCACCGAGTGTCAACCTATTTTGACCTGTTTGATATTATAATTACTTTACTCACGTGACATTCCACTGTTCGATATGCTTTCATTGTGTCTATCAATGGACTTCAGGGCTGTACACACGGATATGTATTTAAGTACAAAATCTGACTATGTATAGACTTTTAATACGGTGAATCCTAAGATTTTTCGAATCTTATAAAACTGTATTAAGAATAGGGCAATGTTCTATTTCTTAATACAAGTCTTAACTTACCTTTCATTTTTAAACCAATTAAAAGTACTCACATTGTGGTCATCCTATTTTTATCATAACAAAAAAGCACGTGGTAGATAATGGTCGACTTTAGCAGTAAAAATATCGAAAAACTCGTTGTTTTATGGGAAGAAGATCAAAAGGAGTAACTACATGTGATTGTAAAAGTTGCTCAAATGCAGCGTTATCTATTCTAAAGAAGTTTTTATAACTACTGGGGTCTTCTCTTTGCACCTCATCTAGCTATGCATTGTGTGCACCAAGTACATATACGAGTGTTCCGCCGCTGTTTCCATTACGATGTTTTTTTTTTTCAGTTTTAATGCAATGCATAATACAATAACAGGTACAGCTAACAGAACCTCATTTTCCACGAGAGAGAGAGAGAGAGACGTATAAACGTGTGTACAGGAAAGTATTATAATACAAATATAATACTTGTATTATACAGTATCTACAAATCTCACCGTTTGTACCGGCCTGAACAACTTCAAAATAATGAAGAATTTTGCGAAAATTTTATTAGGTTCTTAAAGTTTACCTTGTCTTCTTTCACTAAATTGTGTTTTTCGTTTGGTATTTTGAAGGAAATTCTGGTATTGCCAGTGCAAATCAAGTGCACGATTAGCATGTAGCTGTGTTAGCTCATGTCGCCTCTGTATTATGGTCTGCAGGCATCTACAGACACATCCCTAAACACTAGTATCATACCTGACAATATTTGGATTGCCGAAATGAAAGAGATATTGAAGACATAAGCGAGTGATTATCGGTATAGTAACGTTGTAGAATTTTCGTTGACCATGTTTTTTAATCTGAAATATACTTGTTCCGCCAATAAAATGTTAATTTAAATTACAGATAGTTTGTATTTCTTGGAGTTTTCATGTTAAGCTAGCGACTCAAATTTTAAGCTATAATTTTTTATTTCATTTCCGAATGTTATTTATCTATACATGCATATAATAAAATATGTATCACCGTGAGTACTACATACATGTATAATTTGTTTCACTGCACGTTTGTATTACTCTACGTATTACATGTACAGTGAATTACGATTAAATGTAGTGTGACATCGAAGTCATGTACATGTGAATCTAATTTAAGGCTTATACATGTTCTTTTCAATGACGTTGTATGGAATTATAGCAATATGTTTAACAAAATATTCGAAGTATAAATATCAAAAGCATATATATACACAATAATCATAGATTAATTTAGCAATATAGTCTAATTTAAGGCTTAGAATGGGTGGCCGAAAAGGCTCCAAATGACACTCTAAAGTGCACTCATTCTTTCTACGAAACGTGAAATTCCAACTGAGATATGAAGAAAACGAATCGTGATCGAGCTCAAAAGTCCGACGGAACAACACAAATTTGGAGCAGAGCAAACACGAACATCTGAAAACATCAGCGCTGGGATCAGTGCCATGGAGGAATAAGCATCCCTTATCGACCGGTCACAATCGCCGTGTGCTTCTTGCCGTTATCGGGCAAACAGAAAACTCCGTAGACAATTTAGTGTGAAAATAATGGCCAAACAATTTGTATGAAAAACATCAGTCAACATTCGACTCAATGAAAGATTACATTTCCTAGCAAAGCCATTGCATCGACCACAGAATTTGCGAAATGTTAACTTTAAATGGGAATCTTGATATCCTTGTACCATAAATTTATTTGTAATAGCTTGTCTTTCTTTTGAAATTGTTCGTAAATATATAACAAATCAAAACTTCTTTAACCACAATGCCTTATACACACAAACCCTATTTTATGGTGAGACCATGACAAATTGACCCCAAGAAAAAGTAATTGTAGAAATTCTTTGAACTAGATTGCAATAAAATCCCACTACATAAATCTGAATATTCACTCAATTAGGATGAAAATGTTAAACTTTGCAGATTCATAGTAGAAGCTTTTGAAAAGAATATGCCCTGTAAATGTGCATCCTTAACTTAAGGCCATAGGCAAGGCAGTGTTAAAAAAAGTTTGAATAAAATTTTATAGTGTTTCTCACATATGAATCAGTCGATTAGACTTACTTTCTCTAGTGAAAATATTTGAGAGTGAATTGCAGTGTATAATTCTCGAGGCGGTTAAAAAAAAAAAACCCAAAAGTGTATGTTCCTGAGGTAAACAAGAGGCAATTGCGCTTCCTAACAGTTAGAATCATCTCTACGGCAAGAAAGAAAAACATTTATGGATTTGTTGAACTCTGTGTTCAGGGCATATGACAGATATTGACAACGGTTGTATAGGAAGTGCCAACATCTAGTAACTAAGATCAACCCCAAAAAAGTATTTGGTTTTTTTTGATTTTGTTTTTTTTTTTTTTTCAGAAATTTGTTTTCCAACAAAGGAAATTATAGAATAGAAACATTTAGGGGACTTAACAGATCTCATTTATGTTTTGTTTACCAGTGGAAGATACAAGGGGTAATAACAGTTTCTCAAAAATAAATAAAAGTGAAGGTATACCGGTATCTGTCTCGTTTATCTATATTCGCAGTTTCATCCAAAATATTTCGATGTCATAGGAAATGAGGATACAATAATGTGGATAGTATACAATTTATATAAAATATGTTATGTTGAAGAAATCATTTAGTGGAAAATTCTGAATGTTCATTTAATCAATCTTATATCTAATAAATCACCGAAAATTATTCAAATCTTTTATTTGGCAAAACCTAAAAAGAAGGGTGGCTTGGTGGGTTAAGAGTACCAGAATATAACATGCCTGGTACCACTACAGCTTCTCAGAAGCTCTTTAAATTTCGAAAGCCAGAAACTTTACGAATGTCCTTAGCTATTGCTTCTTTTATTTTTCTTTTCAATTAATTCTTCTGCTTTAGTTCAATGTTACTTATAATATAATTAAAACGTATCTGCTTACCTTTATAAAGTACCTACTTATCATTTCATAGACAAATTTTTATTTTCCTGCCAACACTGGCATTTAACATTGTACATTATTTAAACAAAATGTCATTCAAATTCATTACAGAATATTATATTGGACATACTTAAAAGAGAACTGCTAATACAAGAAAAGAAAATTGAAATTGAAAATAATTAAATCTTTTCTTTTTGAATTACAAAAGAAGAATATCCATAGAAACGGAATTTTTGCGCGACACAAATTTAGCGATTCGTCCATATTGATGAGCAGATATTTTTATATATACTAATTTTTATCAATATTATATATACTAATTTTTGCTTTTTGGTAACTCAAAGAACTGGTCACTGTAGCCTAGTGGTAGGGCGCTCGATTCGTAATCAGGATGCCCGGGTTCGATTCTCGATTCTCGTTCTCGTTCAAACCTAAACGTAGGTAGTTACTGTTCCTTTGCCAAGTGGGTATTTCGGATGAGGCCTTAATAACTGAGGTCCCGGTCACGGTAGGCGCTGGCACGATAAAGAACCCTCACTGTTCAATGGCCCTAAATGCCGAGTATAGTTCTAAATTTGAAGCTTTCACCGACATACGGTGAAGTCTCTATATGAGTGAAAAATTCTTGAATGGGAAGTTAAACAACATACAATAAATCATTTATAATTCAAAGAAAAATAAGTCTGACCTCCAATAATAATCAGAATAAATTGTCAACTTTATGGAATTGAACTCAATAATCCTAGTACTTAAAATTTACATACATGTATTAAAGACTCGGTGTCTTATTGAACAAGTTAATGTAAAATGTTAAACAAGTTTTCAATTCACGGATTACTGGTAGACATTAAAATATATTTCAGTCCTGATATTTTGTTTCTTTTGAGGGGGGATGTGACCGTTAATTAAAATTACAGCCTTAATCATAAATCAACCGATGTGTTGTTTGAATCATCATATAAGTCTGAATCTCAAAGTAAAATTTTAAAAGTCATCTTTTAAATAAATGAGGTAAGATTTCCTAAAAAGCTTTATTTCAAACGTTAGTTTATGATAAATGTATATTTATATAAATGGAATATGCATTGCCTTTCAATTTTAATGCTAGTATTATATGGTACATGACCTCCCAAAGATAGTAATGAGTAAACTTTATTTCCGCCCCCGAACGAAATCAGAGGAGATGTTCTTATTGTTCCAGCTATATTTTGTCAACAGAAGATGTTGGAGATGGCCTGGACAACTTAATTAAAATTTACATTAATTATCATTAAGATAGTTGTGTATGAAACGAAGAAAGAACTGTTGTAAAATGCCTCTATACAAAACAATCTTTCTAAAAATTGGATTTAAATGATTAATTTTCATTTGAACTCGCAAAATTTCAGAATTTACAACAAACTTTATTACTTAAGTGCATCTTTGCTTCTCGCCATGTGTACAGTTGCGGGTCATGAAACGTTTTGAGTAGGTGACCATAACTCTCAAAAGAATTAGTAGTATCTGATGATTTTCCTGGTTTATATTATATTAATCAAACTCATTCAAAATTAGTGATCATTATTAAAAAAATATCAGAAAATAATCAGAGACAAAATTTTGTAAAGTGTGCTGACTTAACCAACATAAAGCCCCCAGGGAAATAAATTTTGAAAACACTCGGAATCTTCATAATTTCAGAATATTTTTTAAAGTGTTTCCTTATAGCTTAATTGTTTTTCACTACAGCATTAAGACAGTGCTTCTAAAATTTCTTAATTAAATGTTTTCTTTATATCTGTTCCTCAAAATGTCATTTCTGTTAAAGATAGGCAACTATAAAACCTTTAAATGTTCTACTTTTCAAGAACGTCGAGAACACTGCAGGAAATGTACATCAAGTTGTACTCAAGAAAATTCGAATCAGTCTGATATCACAAATAAATGAAAATGAAATTTTATCAACCCAGAAGAATCATCTTCGACTTCTTTTATTTTAGATTAAACACCTTAATGAATAAAACTATAATACAAACCCACTATCTAAACATTTCCCACTTCAAAAATTTTTAATATTATTTTAAGCATTTTTAAAATTAGTATATTTATTGAAAAAGCAATTTTTTTCTTCACAATATGAAAATGAAATTAATTGAAAGAATGATAAATATGGGGGAAATAAGTTGTGATTACAATAAAATTACATGTCTTCATGTTAAATGGAATGTCATGTGAAAAATCATCAACAATAAATCAAACTAGTAAACAGAACTAATATTTCAAAATTGATATGAATGAAGGTACGCTTAACCAGATAATCAGAAGATGTCTTTTAGCTTTATATTAAATATCAAAATAGAATAATCCACTTAACGAGAACCATTTTGATTAGACATGTAATAAAGGTCTCAATCAACCAGTGGAGAAACCTTCAATATACAAAAATTATGAAACGGTTATTCACACAAAATGTTGTTATAAATATGTAATATATAAATGCTTATTTGTACATGAAAATTTGTACAATTCAATTTAAGGAATATACAACTGGGAAAGGCAGATTTAAAAAAAATAATGGTGTTCAAGCCTGCCAGCGTGCCATCTGACATTAATTATTCAAAACTTTCTTTAGCAGCTTAAGGGGAAGAAGGACCTTGAGCTGAAAAAATACTTATCATTCAATTTTTTTTATATTTTGTATATTTCTTATTTAGTATGTCCCACATATCTTGAAGCAGTTATGTCATTAGGTTTCTAACCTTATCTTAGAGATATTGATTGACAAATACTATGCCCTAGAGTATCTACGTGGAGTTTTAACTCTCCATGTTTCAGGGCTCATTACTCTGTCCATAATGGAATTTTTAAGCATAGATAAAAAATATGTCAGTGGACAAGTATCTTTTAAAATATTTCAGAATATGAATAGGGTTTAAAATTCGAAAAAAGCAAGTTTCTTCTATCACACTGCATCTGGGTAGGGAAAATTACGTACTTTTTAAGACAACTTGAACAACAAAAAACTTAATTTGCAAAAAATACCGTAATTCAATATTTGAAATTTTACGTTGAAATGGAAGTCTTATATTTTAAGGATTAACTGTAAAAATATCTAATCTTGAAGATGACCTCAATATTGCACAGGACATCGTTAAACAAGACAAAACCATGACAAAAACGTGTCATGTTTACATTTCTCCAGTACGGAAAAACCAACATCACTCGTATGCTAAATAAGCGAAATAAGATATGCCTACATAAGATTTCCGTCATCAGCCATGCAAAAATAATTTTTGTGTTTCCCGTTTCTCAAAATATCTCATCATATACTGATTATAACCTGTTTTTACACAATAATACTGCCACTGTATTCACCGAGTATGATCTCGCTGTACAAACAGATCGTGAATGACGTCACCGACTTGTTGGACGCGTAGTTTAGGGAAACAGAGGAGTGGAACAACATATTCCGTAATTTGTTAATGTTTACAAGATTGTTAAAACTTTTTGTTATTTTTATATAAAATGGTAATTTAAGTAAAGCAAATTGTCAAAAATTTATACAAGAACTGATGATTTAAACGTTCTGCTGTTCTATAAAGGGAGACCATGACGTAATTAAACAGTCATGTGACTATGTGTCCTTCATCCCCTTAAAAAACAGTGTTTCTGATTCATTGTTAAAATATAGGTTTTTTAAAAATAAGTTTGCAACCCAGGTTACATTTTGTATTCTCATTATGTTTCGTAATCACCAATTCGTTGCGGGGATTATAGTGAGATATATGAAAAGATACATATATAATATAATAAGAGAATATTCCATTGATAAAGATGTAAATATTAACCTTTTAAAATTCATAATTAGAAGCAGTAATTGCTTTATTTTTTTTTCTTAGACCCATATTACAAGGATGTAGTGGTGCAGTAATAAAAAAAGAACCTTTCCTTAAATTAGTTGTAAACACTTAAAAAATAAATGAAGATATCGTGTAAGTGGTGTTGAGATACCTTTATCCAATCAGGATGAATAAAACAATGGATTATAAACTCCCCTTTTAAATGATACAGACGAAAAGCTATAAATAAGAAATCAAATCTAGTTCTCCCTCATTGCGAATAGACCATTGATCAAGACATCATGCATCTCAAAATTTACTGTGGTTTTCTCTTCTTTGGCATTGGCTGTGTGTTTTGTCAGAAGACAACAAACATTACTGACCAGGAAACCGCATCCGATCTGCAGAACAGAGTGTCCATACTGGAGAGAACTGTGTCAAAAATACTAACCGGAAAGGACAACACGAACATCACAAATATCAATACCTTAAAGGTGGCAAGTGGAGGTATGACGTCAAAGATTGCATATTGCATTTTTCTTTTTGACTAAATTTGTTTCAATCAACATTTTAAATATATGAGATTTTTTTTATCATAACTTTCATATTTTTTTTTCCCTAAAATAAATGGAAAAACATGATTGAATATAGTTATATCTTTTAAGTTAAAAAAAAAATCGAAGTTCAATAAAATATACTCTGAAATCCTTTCTCCAAAATGTCTAGGCCAAATAACAACCGTTCTCTTGTTCATATATAGTTCATTTATTATTAGTTTTATTTTGTGTATATATTTTTATAAATAATTGCAATTAAAAAAATGAAATAATAATATACATGTATAGGAAGGTATCCCCAATAAAATGAAAAAAAAATTGTCAATATTACAGTACAGGCTTAGATCGGAAAGCATTTTGAACATTCCCGTCTATATATATATATATATATATATATATATATATATATATATATATATATATATATATATATATATATATATATATATATATATATATATATATATATATATATATATATATATATATATATATATATATATAAAATTACTAAATTTTGCAAATAAACTCCGAAACGGGTGCACCAGAGTTTTTACTTACTCCTCTAAGAATACACTAGATACAAGATGATGTCCGTAAGCTATATTTAGATTTCACTCGCATAGTAAGTTTCGTACATCAAATTAAAAGTCTACTTTCATTTTCTATAAAAAGCCATGAAATAGCAAAAACGTGAGTATGGTGGCGGTTCCGGTTGGCGGATCTAAGTTATTGGCAATTTTAATGAAATTGACAAAAAGCAATCGTTTATTTATTTCGTAAAACGTCATCACTGTATTATTCAATCAAAAATTGATTTAAATGATATAAAAGAAAAAAGTTGTGATAACCGATTAAAAAGGGAAATGTGCAAATTATTTTCGTCATTCACTGATCTTAATATTGACGGAAGCTTTTAGAACATAATATATATAGCATCGAGCCCGATGGTAAAAAGAAACATGAGGCGATTATAGCTGCACGAACATAAAAAAAATCTTATGTGTGAATGGTCATTGAAATAATGGTAAATCATTGATAACACTATTAGTTGTGAATACATTTATATATCGAAAGACTGTTACATATATGAATGGTAAAGAGCTAGGTTCACTTTATGCATAAAATGGCCCTGTAGATATACCAATTTATTGACTAATACCCCGTGTACCATTTTCAACATTAATATAGAGAGACTTAGTGCTTTCAATTTATATAACAGAATTTCCTTTGAAGAGTCCAGGCATTGAAAAACAGGTTGCGTGAAATTGCAATGTCATTGAATTTTGCAGAAAACAGGTGTTTTTGAGAACCTTCAGCAAAGAATTAAAATATGAGCACAACCCTCGATCCAAGAATTAAAATATGTTTTATAATCTTCATTAAAAGTCCTTTTATAATATATTTACACTTTTTCGATCGGAGGTTGAGCTGTATACGAAATATTGAAAAATGGCATCATATTTTGTCGATTTTTGAAGAAATATTCAGGATATGTGAATAATGACGCAATTCATGACGTCATAATGCATTGACTAGAAAGAAAATTACGTCATTTTCAGTAGATATTCATTCACCAAGTGCTCAGGCATTTATTTATTACCTTGTTAACTAAAACTATACAGTTTTGAATTTTCAGAAATTCACAGGGCCAAAAAAGGCCCTAAGTGGCTCTTGCTCTTTGTATATATTCCAGAGCATCCTAGCAACGAACCCGAAGTACAATATTTGTGCTTCCTAATAAACTTGCTTACATGAATAGAGAAAATTAATGAATAAGGTATTGTTCAAATACAATTAAAGCTGTAAAATTTTGTGCTTTAATCAATACATTTTTTTTTCTGAATACAGTCTTTTGTATCAGATACTCGGCCTAATCATAGGGCGTTAAAAAAGTTTTACACAGGTACTTGGGTCTTGGTTTATAAATATGTATGTAGGCCTACCTTATTGAAAAAAGTGAAGTACATCTTTTACATATCAATAAAGAACATACATATTTATAAACTAAGACCCGAGTACCTGTGATTTTTTTTAAAAATCAACTTATCAGTAAAATGTGCATATTCGCTTACAATCTGCTTTTATCCTTGACGGAAATGAAATAAGAGCATCTGAACTACAATATCCATAACAAAGTATAACAGGTTTCACAATAAACGTCAATTAATGAAATTATTGAAGACTGTAGCTAAAATATAAGTATAACTATCAGATGTTCCGTCACCAGTGGTAAAAAGTAAATCCACGCGCTTGCGCATGATTCATCTATTTCATATCCTAATCCATGATATATTCTTTTATTATTTTTCAATCAGTATTACCAAATAAATATAATTGTTAAAAAACATTCGAATATTGCTGTCTACAAAAATATGAATAACATTGCTTTGTGAGCTCGTTGAGTAAATTGGCCGACTCAGAAGCCCCATTGACAGCCACTATATAATCAATACAAATTACTGCGCATGAAAAGCGCGTGATGCCCAAGGGAGAATGAACATAGTTCAACTCCCAAAGAGGACCCCCGAAAATTGCAGAGGCGGAATTAGGTGCCTAGAAGGTGTAAGCATCCCCTGATGACCCGTTACACCCGCCGTGAGCCCTATGAATAAATCAGGTAAACGGGACATTCCGTTGTCGAATTAAGTATAAAAACAAAAGCCAAAGAATTGACCTAATTATAGGTTATATTTCATGTTGCATGTTTTATTTGAACCATTGCATCTCATAGGTATGCAAAATATGTACATGAATATTTACACATAGGATAAGTGTTGTACATGCTATACAGTATACATTAGCAATTACATAAATACTTGCATTTACTGCTTTATCATTTCTTATCGTACACTATTTAAAACATCATTTCTTAATTGATAAGAATAATACAGAAATTAACCTAGGTTGCATAGATCTTTAGTATTTGTCGAACTTAGTTACTGTACTAATTTAAACACTAATTGGTTTTTTTAAAATAATAACTCTTGATATATTTAATTTTCAGTTCTTGATATTGAGGACATTTCATTGCAAAGTGAAATTCGTCGTCTATCTATATTTGTTGATAGGGTCATTGATACGACCATGAATTTACGAAATGCTGACTTTAGACGAGATTGTTGAAACCCCTGTAACATCAGCTTACATTTATCTGTCAGTAGACTGCCTCATTTAAAAATGAACGTGCTCTTGGGTATCGAATAAGTTGGAAGATGTAAACATCATATGCAAATGATAGCGGAATATTACTACAAAAAAGGAAAGTTGACAACGGAAAAAGCTGAATTTAGTTGTTAGTTGGTCTTTATCGTCTTTAGTCAGTAGAACGACCAAATATGAAGCAATCGTGGCAAACATAAGAAGGACGTAAAATTTCTGCATGTCTGAAACATATTCAATTGTATAATATGCATTCAATTTTATTAATAAACAGTGGTCTATGAGAATTCCTTTTCAAATATATTGAAGAAATAAAGAAGAATCCCAGTTTAAAGTCATCATTTCGGAAGTTCTATGGTCGATACAATGACCTTGTCAGCAAATACAATTTATCATTGAGTCAAATGCTGAATGACGTTTTTCACACTAATTGTTAGGCCATTATTTACACACTGAATTGTCGACGGATTTTTCCGTTATTTCCCGATCATGACAAGGAGCACACGGCGGGTGTGACCGGTCGGCAGGGGATGCTCACTCCTCCATGGCACCTGATCCCACCTCTGATGTTTGGAGGTCCGTGTTTGCTTTGCTCCTATTTTGTATTGATTTATGGACTTTTGAGCTTGAATACTGTTCGTTATCTACATATATTTCATCCAGTATAGTACATTCAAGTCTGTTTACATGGTCGTCAGCTGAGAATAGGATACATACATTTAAGAGGAATATATTTTTTTACATCTACTTTAAAACAGTGATACATTTGTCAAATCAATATGGAAACATTTCCATACAGTGTATATTGAAGTAAATCAATGTTTTCAATTTATCATTAAAGACAGGCCATTTTATTGACCTTCAAGGTGAACATAAGGGTTTATTTTTCCTACATTGAACTAAAAATAGATTGAAACAATTCTGAAAAGTTATTTCACCTGCAAAGAATCAGAAAAGCGGGAGGGATTGTCCCCCTTCCCTTTTCTGAATGTAAATTTTAGCACTTTCTAGTTTGAAATGTTCATTGAAAGTCCTGCATGAAACCACCACCTCTTTCTTATACAGTATAGTTAAAAAAATCTCTCCTACTTGAGTGGACAAGTTGAACATAACACTCGGGCGCCTAGTAGAAGGGAGGTGTCCTCCCCTTCCATTTTTATGAACGTATTTTTTTTAAATTTTTGTTTGAATATGTTCATTGCTAGTCTGGTTGCCGTACTCCCCAACTTTTTGATACAGTAGAGTAAAAGGAAATCTCCCTTAAAATTTTTTGAGCGGTTCATTAAAGATATTTCTAAAGTAATCTGTCATTTTTGCCACTTATAATGCCCCATATCCCTTTTTCGATGCTATGCCTGATATTTCTTTTTTCTACATTGCACCAACAATAGATTTCAAATGAAAAATTAGTACTGATTATGCTTATGTTAACTCAGATTTTATCAATGTGTTTGGCTAGGCCTTGAGCAAATGTAAACAAGAAACTTGACACGTTTGCTTTATTATCGTTCAATCATATAATTAAACAGTTATTGCTTTTTTCTGTCAGTACGATGATTTTCCACCATCGAAAAGCAATGTTCATCTCGCCCTTTGGGCTAGATAAATCTTTTACTTCTCAAGATTCTGAATCATCGCAATGACCTTAAAAACAGCAATAATTGCATAACATAATGAGATAATACGATAACATATCATCGTTTTATTCCCAATTTAGCTCAGGTGAGCATTTTGGCCAACAGGTCTCTTGATTGATATTTTTTTTTTGCCACCTAAATATTTCAACTTTAATCTACAAGGGGTCATTATTCTACGGGGATCATTTTTCGGAGTTGAATATTGACAGGGGTCATTATTCAACGGCTTAAAATAACCCCTGGTCATTATTTGTCTTTACATTGGCAGAAAAACTGTCAATAACAGAGATTGCGTTCGTAACCTTGATGAAGGATAGCTCATCAAAGTAAAAATTCATGAAGCTGGGTTCTGATTTCTTTATCTTCTAGGAATGAAGCTGGGTTCTGATTTCTTTATCTTCTAGGAATTCCTATCTTCAATAATACACCGGTAACATTCTCTGCTTGGTCAAACAGTAAATCTGGAATAGGCCCTGGATTCATTCTGCAGTTTCCAACCATCATTAACAACCATGGAAAGCATTACAATCCAACGAATGGAATCTTTATCGCATCTGTCCACGGAATTTATTTGTTTCACTGGACCATGCAATGATACCATAGTGGGAGCAGTCATTGTTGTACCGATCTTAAAATAAATAATTCAGTAAAAGGAAGAATTCGTTCTGGAGAAAATACAAGTGGTTATTACCATACTGGGTCCAACACTGTGATTGTAGAGGTTGAAGCAGGTAATCATGTGTGGATTGAAACTGTATCCTATTCTGACGTTTATATTCATTCAGAGTCCTCATTTGGTGGGTCACTCTTGTTGATCTTATGAACAATTACAGCTGCAACCGAAAGTCACGTAAATTGACATAAAGAGATATTGAATGTATAGCTATGCAAAATGTCTCTAAAACATCTTTTTTTAGTCATTCATATTTTATATTACTGTCGTAACATGCATTGTTATAAAAACAATACAAAACTATAACATCATTGCATAAAACAAATATTTGTACATGATACATGTAGACAAAAAAGAAATCCATTTGAACAATTTTGAAAAATGGACAAAATATTTCTTTTTTTGTAACATTATGTAAGCCAATAATAAAGTTTATCTTCTCTGGATAAACTAGGGTATTTTGAGCACATATTTTCTCACTATAGAAAGAACGATAACTCGTACTTTTCACAATTATGCAACTGGGCATGCTCAAGGGTAACTTCCTTTTCCTGCTGAACAAGAAAGCTGCTAGGTGCCAGAAATTTAACTCAAAGAAAACTTCATAGTAGATCCAAAGCATCACGAAGAGAAAGTCAAAGTAAGTTTTTAATCAATCGGATGTTAATTAACAAAATTAATTGAATTGTTTAATATCAAATTGAGTCTTTTTAGTCAAGTTTTCTAAAATTTATTTTAAGGAAAAGCTGCTCAACCTGGCCTGGTAGGTCAGCCATGTTGTAAAAAAAAAATTAACTTGAAAATATTTCAATAAACTTGACAAATATATATATATATATATATATATATATATATATATATATATATATATATATATATATATATATATATATATATATATATATATATATATATATATATATAGAATTGCAATGAATTATGTTATGCTTGAATAAAAAATAAATAAATAAACAATGATAAAAAAATAAATAAATAAATAAAAATATAAAAATATATATATGTATATATATAAAATAAAAATAAAGTAAGAGCATCGAAGGCAAAGAGCCCATATGCCCGGCCACCACCAAGGACTTTTGTGAAGCATAGTATAGTAGCCACCACAGTGACCACCCAGGCATCCCCAGTATCGTCCACTGAACCCATCATTCCGACAGTCACCGGTCTCCATTCAGAGGCAGCTATTTCAGTGCCACCAAGAAGTTACGTGGTCAGCCATGGATCGTTAGCCCAATCAGTACCCTTGCAGCCTGTTTATGAGAATGCAGACACCCAGACTCCAGTTGTACAGACTTTACCCACCCAGCCGACAGTGGAGCCACAGTTGCACATACCAACAGCTAGCACTACAGCAGATATAAATTGTCAACTTGATATCGATAGGCCTATACCTTTTCCGAGTGTAGTATCAATGCTTGGTGCTTATGTCTCTCAGGCATTGAAAGAAAAAATCTGGAATAATGAGTATGTTGCTCTGAACAAATTGCTAATCAAAGAACCAGTTTGACTGTTTCAGATATACAGCATCACATTGTTTTTCATTATGGATTAATTCAAGTTAAACCTAAGTACAAAGATGAGAAAATTGTATCCATTTCACAATGGACTGATGCTTTTTTAATTTTTGCCTCCATTTACTGTGCCAAGCACTCTGCACAAGCTATGAATTTATTTCGTTACATGGCAAAAATTAAAAAAAGGTGCATAGCGGTCACCCAACTCTTATGGTTGGAGGGATTATGACATCCAGTTTAGGCTGAAAAAATCAATTGATTCTAATCTAAGTTGGGGTTCCGTTGATGCTGAATTGTGGTTGTTTTATATGCAGCCTACTATACAAAACTATAATCAGAATCCCCCAAAACAATTTAAATGTTACTCTTACAACTTTCAGGGTGCATGTGAAAAACACAATTGTAGATTTTTGCACATTTGTGTGAAATGTAATGGATCGCATCCTTCTTTAAATTGCAGAACTTCCCAGAATAACAATGTCAAACAGTTCCCCCAGTCTAGGCCCGCACAACAGCAGTTCCGCCCGAGATTCCCACAGCGAGCAATACGACCTACGCAATAAATTATGGGAGTTGGGCCATACTCCAATTAAAACTAACAAGCTTCACAAATTATTAATAAATTATCTGACAGAGAAGTTGCCAACATAATATCGCAGGGTTTTCAGAAAGGATTTTTGTTAAATTATCAGGGCCCTAGAATAAGGGTTGAATATAGGAACATGAAGTCTGCAGTTCAACACTTTAATGATTTAGAAGAAAAGGTTAAAAAGGAACTTGGATTGGGTAGGGTTTTAGGTCCTTTTTCACCCCCCCACCCCCCCCCCCACCCCCAATATCAAATTTAAGATGTAACCCAGTAGGTTTATTACCTAAAAAACAAGGTGGATGGCGCATGATTACCAACCTGTCACATCCTTATGGTGATAGTGTTAATGATTACATAGACCAGCAAGCATGTACTGTCAGCTATGCTTCATTTGATGATGCAATTAACATAATCCAAACCAAAAAGAAAAGAGGCCCTTATGGCAAAGATGGACATTTTCAGTGCATTTAGACTTTTACCAATAAATCCTCAGGAATTTTGTCTGCTAGGTTTCAAGTTTAACAATTCATACTATGTTGACAAGTGTTTGCCAATTGGGTGTTCAGTATCTTGTTCACTGTTTGAAAAATTTTCATCTTTTTTATATTGGGAATTAGAACAGAGGTCACAAAAAGATGGTATTGTTCATTACTTACATGATTTCTTATTTGTTGGATCAGCTACCTCTAGTGAATGCACTGAATTAATGCATCATTTTCAAGAATTGAGTCAATTTTTAGTAGTTCCTATTGCACCAGAAAAAACGCAGGGTCCTTGTACAAAAATGACATTTTTAGGTTTAGGAATAGATTCCATGCAAGAGACAATTTTTGTTCCAAAAGAAAAAGTTGATGAATTGTTGGAAAAGATTAAGTATGTTCAGTGTAGTAAAAAAGTAACAAAGAAAGAATTGGAATCGCTTGTTGAATCACTTGTATTTGTTGTAAAAGCACTACCGGCTGGTAGGGCATTTTGTAGGAGAATTTACGGGGCACTACAAGGTGTTGATAGATCTTTTCATTTGATTAGAATATCTAATGAAATTAAGTTGGACCTTCAGATGTGGGTTGAATTTCTGCAAAATTTTAATGGACTAACTCGGTTTCCATCTGTAGATTGGTCAGATAGTGATTCGCTGCAATTTTATACAGACAGTTCTGGTTCGTTTGGGTGTGGTGTTGTTTTTGGTGATGAATGGAGTGTGTTAGCTTGGCCGGCAAGTTGGTCCCAGGAAATAAGGAGGGATATTACTTTGTTAGAACTTGTTCCAATAGTGTTGGCTATTATTATTTAGGTAGACAAACTAGCTTCCAACAAATTGTTATTGCATGTAGATAATTTAGCACTTGTTCACATAATTAACAACAAAACATCAAAAAATAGGAGAGTTATGGTTCTGTTAAGAACTTTGGTCCTCAACCCCCTGCAGAATAACATTCAGATCAAATATCAACATATGCAAGGTACTAATTAAGAATGATAAAGCAGATGCTATTTCTCGTTTTCAGTTTTCGAATTTCATCAGCTGGCTCCTGGGGCTTGGCCTTATCCCTGCGCAGTTCCTGTGCAATTTTGGCAAATTATTCATCAATTGTAGAGAATCTTGTAGATGCTAGTATTTCGGGCGATACAAACAAAGTTTATAAGCAAGGCATTCAAGCCTTTATTAAATTTAGGGTAGATAACTCTTTTCCACAAGTATGGCCTACTCCTATTGACCATGTCATCAATTTTGTTGCATACATGCCAGAGAGGAAATGTGCTTTTCGACTGTCAAGTGTTATCTGTCAGGTTTGAGCTTTCTTATAAATGTTCATGGCTGGCCAAATGCTGTGGAGTCATTTTTAATTAAAAAATCGCTAACTGGTTACAAAAGGTTGACAGTGTCTAGTGATATTAGAAGGCCTATAACCTTGCACCTATTATTTCGTATCATAGATACCTTGCCATACGTGGCACATTCTTTATATGAGGCGACATTATTTCAATGTGCCTATTCAGTAGCATTTTTTGCATTGCTTAGAGTCAGTGCAGTGGTTGACCTTTAATTTGATAGTGTTCAATTGTTAGAAGACTATGTTACTCTCCTGATTAAATGTTCCAAAAATGATCAAATTCACAGGGGTTCATCAGTAAAAGTCCCAAAGCATGCCCAGTCATTAATTTTGTTTACATTACTGCAAAAATTTCTTGCAATGCGGCAGACAATTTTATCAACTAAATTCTTTGTTCATTTCAACTCCAAACCTTTGACTCATTATCAGTTTTCAACAATGCTCAATAAATGTTTATCATTTTTAAATATAAACACCTCTGTTTTTAAATCTCATTCCTTTAGGATTGGTGGGGCCACACATCTTTATTTAAATGGTATGAGCAAAGCTGAAATCAAAACCATTGGCAGATGGAGTTCCGCTGCCTATAAGTCATACATAAGTCCAATTGTTTAAAAGTTTGATAAAGAATTGTAAAAAATTGTTTCAGATTACATATGGATCATTGGATCATCATTGATTTATTGGGCTCAGAAATATGCTCAACAGAGAGCGAATAGCAACCTTGGATTTGAATCGTATAGGATAATTTGGCATGGAATAAGGGGTATGGTTTGGTCTCAGTTTTATCCAACGATCCAAAAGAAGTTAAAAAATAACAACCCCCCAACAGTCCTCGTAATATATTGTGGTGGCAATGATATTGGCAATCCACATAGTACTTTAAAGGGCTTACAAATGTACATGAAATCTACCATCGTAAATATTTCACAATTAATGCCAAAGACAATTATTGTTTGGTCTCATATCTTACCACGAAGTAATTGGACCTTGTGTCTTTCTAACAAAGATGGAGAAAATTGGAGAAGAAGAATTAATTCTGCCCTCGCTACATTTGTTGTTAAGAAAGCATGTGGGGCCTCCATTAAATATCCCGATATTTTAATTAGACATGTATCCCTTTTCCGCAAAGATGGTATACACTTATCAGACTTGGGTAATGACATATTTGTAAATTCTGTAAGAAATGCTCTTGGGCTGTTTTTGTCATCTACTGACAGATTTTATCCTACTACTACTACTACTAAAGACTTGTCATGGTCAAATCTTGAATAGTTGTGATGTTGAATATTTGCAAATGAATTGTGTATGACTAATTGTTGAATATAAAATTGATATTGTATGGATGTATGCAAAATTGAGATTTGTTGGCGGATATCCCACAAAAGTTTGTTTTGTGGTTCATTTGGCAGATATTTGCATAGAATGCCACCTCCATGGGGTACTGTTTTCTCCAGGTCCCTTGGGTCAAGGTGGTATTTCTACTGCTTTGAGTTGTTTGTGTATATGCTGCTATATCGATTTGAAGATCGGCGCATATTTTGTTGTTTTGTTAATAGATGTGAATAAATGGCCATGACAAGCACGCCAAACATTAATTATTAGTTATGTCTTAATTAGGTAAGGCCAGTAAGGTCTTTAGATAATTATCAAATTTCTTATAAATTCTATTTTTTTGTCCTTCAATGGTAAAGAATAATGATTTGTAAGGCGCGCCTTGGTGTCTAAAAATAATAAAGTTTATCTTCTCTGGATAAACTAGGTTATTTGAGCACATATTTTCTCTCTATAGTAAGAACGATAACTCGTACTTTTCACAATTATGCAACTGGGCATGCTCAAGGGTAACTTCCTTTTCCTGCTGAACAAGAAGGCTGCTAGGTGCCAGAAATTTAACTCAAAGAACCCTCCCACCCTCTCCAAGTTATAACTTGTGCGGAAAAGCTTGGCCTTAAAATTTGGTGTTTTTTAACCTTATATAATGTATGTACTGCTAGGCTAGTTAAGCATTGTTCAAGATTTACATGTTTGCAATATTTGTAGAACAGAAATTTTGGGGTTTTTTCAAATTTATATTTTCAGCGTCATGGACCATTACATTGATTGATCATGTGCATATCAACAGAGACTGAAGCTGGAACCGATGATTATGCGCCAGTGCTGTAAAAAATTATGTTTTGTGACGATATAAAGACAATATTAATGGCAGAATTTTGCATAGAATGCCACCTCCATGGGGCACTGTTTTCTCCAGGTCCCTTGGGTCAAGGTGGTATTTCTACTGCTTGAAGTTGTTTGTGTATATGCTGCTATATCGATTTGAAGATCGGCGCATATTTTGTTGTTTTGTTAATAGATGTGAATAAATGGCCATGACAAGCACGCCAAACATTAATTATTAGTTATGTCTTTATTAGGTAAGGTCAGTAAGGTCTTTAGGATAATTATCAAATTTCTTATAAATTCTATTTATTTGTCCTTCAATGGTAAAAAATAATGATTTGTAAGGGGCACCTTGACGTCTAAAAATAACAAAGATGTTTGTATCTTGTTCAAAGATTTATTAAAACACCGTGATCGTATAGATTTGTAATGATCATAATTCCTGGAATGTCATCAGAATAGACCAACGCACTTGATATAACAAAAGTTTTTTTAGTCCAAAATATTCTAGAAGAGCTGAGAACTAGAACCCAAAGGTAAGAAAAGTCCAAAAATGATTCCCAAAGGAGTCAAAAGAATAAAAAAACAAAGGAATGCTGTTTTCCGGCAAACAGGGTATTTTATGCTTAGAGGGTATTCATGATCCCGGATATAAAAGTACACCTTACTGGCTGCCTTGCCATTGCCTTGCCACCCACCCTTGTACGTAGTTCTGTCCGTTGACCAATGAACCCCAACATGGCACCACCCTCTAATCAAGATATACCTACATTGGTATTATTTATTGGCTCAATCCCCATCTCTGCACCACAGGAGTTCTAGCCCCGAGCTCTTTTACTTGTCTACTTCCGTTCAAATTTTTTCGATGGGCTTGATTGGTCTATTCTGATCAATCCCATTACAAAAGAATTTACAAAATTATACTTCATTGTACCAACATCAAAATCCAATTTGTTTTAACAAGATGATTATAGTTCATGATGTTAAAGTCTCTTTCCATTTATAATGTCACTGCATGTGGTACACTATTAATGTCCATCCTTGTTTAATAAACTTTTATTTTATTTTACCGTCTCTAATAAGTTCACTATTAATAACTAAAATGATTATGATATGAATATAATCCAAGTTTAAAATGTTCAAATAAAATGTCCCTTCTAAATCCTATATGTTTACAATTATCCTTCACTGACTGAGAAATGATTTTTTTTTTTTTAAAAATCCCATCTTTGCTTTTTCATGTCTGCTTTTTTATGAGAGAGAGAGAAAAGGAGGAAAAATCTCACTATTTCTATTATATCTAAGTACTTCCAAGTAAGCATAAAAAGACGGGTTTTTTTTCCTTTTACAATTCATTATATATTGCTTTGCAATTAGAGTAATTATGTTCAACCTTCTGAAAGCAGTTTCACTAGAATTGTTATATCTAAATATAATTTCTTCGGGAGTAACTGACTGTTGAAATCCTTGTTTCATCAACTTATTTGTCAACATCTTGCCGCATTTCAGTAAATGGTTCGTACATAGAGCACGCTCTTGCGTATCGAATCAACTGAGAGACATGAACTCCATATGCAGATGATAAGGATATATTGCTGCATAAATATGGGTCGTTGACGATAAAAAAATGATATCATGTTTATAATCACGTTTTTTTGTTAGGTTACCACTAACTTCGTCTTCTAGTAAAGTATCCAAATATGAATCTGGGCACATAACATCTATACAAAGAAGCATGATTTGTTAATAAACACGAGTACAAAAAAGGATCATCAATATATGTAGCAAAACAAAACATATCAAAAAAAACTAAATATTAAGCCCAGGTTAAGAAGAGGTGCTAAGTAATTTGAATTATCTACCTTACACCAGGAAGCTTTATATGACATTACAATTATATGTTCCTAAACCACAAAATTATCAAAGAACAGCGCTCTAGGGTATGCACGTCTCAGCAGTTGCAACTTTCTGGACAGCATACTTCCGTATATCTAATGTAGATCAGTAATTCAATAATACATATATATCATATAAAATTAAAATTAAAAAAAATAAATAAGTAAAAATAAATAAATGTTACAATGTTGTGGCATAAATGGTAATAAAGCATGGAATGAGGATGTATATCTTGCGAGTGAATAGGAGACATCAAGGGACGGTGTTATGAAAAATGCATAATCCTAGTCAAATGTATTGCATAAAAGGCTACATTTCTTTTTAAAGTAAAAGTTAAATACAGTATGTTTTGGACGGGTGGATTTTCATACATGGAGAGGCTACGTTTAGGGATATGGTGGACCGGCGGGGAGAGTACGGTGGGCCATAGATGACATTGTGACGTAGTGTGAAACCATCCAGTGATGACCATAGTTGAACTTTTGGCCATTTTCATGTTTATTGTACATATGTAGATAAATTCTTTGTTAATTTTTATTTATCTTGTTATTTCTTGGTAAACAGGAGTCTTCCAAACTATTATTTGTTTTGGTTTGTAAATACGAATTTAAAGAATCCATCACAACTTGAGGTCGGTTGTGACAATCTTCTAAAATAATATGTAGTGATCTGTACCAAGAAGATTTATTATCAATATATAGCTTCTTAGAATGGTTCTATGTATTTATGAGTAAGGGAAATTTTCTCTGATCTTTTCCCAAGCGTTCTAATCTCTTCTTCCAGGCGTTCTAATCTAATCTCTACTAATACATAACAATACTTTTTACTATGTCAAAGTGTAGTGGAATCTACCAAGCTTTGATGAAAGAGCAACATTTGTTGATTTTTATACAAACAAAGAAGAAATTACATAGCTTTGTGCTGAAGCTTTTACACATGTGCTTTTAGTGTATATATTATCCATAGAGAAATTACACCCCCGCCTTCCTGATTTTACTATCATCGTAACTGAATGGTCCCCAAGTCTTGCATCCATATAATAGAATGGATTTGATTGTGTGATCAAAAACGTATGCAAAATTTGACGTTGTATTCAACGAAAGAAAATTTTTCTGTAGTTTCAAATATGCTTGTAGAGCCTTTTCTGTATAAATCACTTTGTACAGAGAAAATGCCTCATGCATTGAAGTATATGCCAAGATACATGTATTTATAATGTTATAATGTTATACACATTAAATGTTATATTCTTGATATATACATATTAATCTAATGTTCTGTATCTCACTTCGAGTGTAGGGCGGCGCCGCGAGAATTCCATCGGCATCGAAAGCAAGCTTTTTGACTTGCTAGATGGCCGTGTGGTCTAGCGCGCTCTTCCTGTACTGCTAGGAGACAATTCCGTAGGTCGAAAGTTCAACCCCGGTTTTGAATTTCTCTGTACTATCTTTCTTCATTATATATATATATATATATATATATATATATATATATATATATATATATATATATATATATATATATATATATATATATATATATATATATATATATATATATATATATATATATATTGAAGGTCACAAATGGGAGGACATGACAGTAGTGGTTATTGACCATAATCCGAATTGGACCGATGCTCAGAGAAAAAAGCAAGGAAAAGTTCTGGATGCACAGACTTAAGTCATTCCGCCCTAATGGTATCAACAAACTAAATGACTTCACCAGGATGAACGTGAACTAGACCCAATTCCTGATTGTAACAAACAAGTTTATTCTCTCTATATAGTGTTAACTTTACCGTTAATTCGCTTTATCAATTCTGGGACAACCCACGCATAGATTGTCTGCTTACATTTTTGTTTATTATTTCTTTTATCCGATAAACGTCCTAAAACATTTCCAAATTACATTTATAATACATCTAAATTATCTTTCTTTGGTTTCTTTTTATTATGTAAAGTTAAGCTATTTTGAGAGAATAAGACAGTGTAAGTAAGATTTACTGCTTGGCCGTTATTAATTAGCGATAATTAATTCGTTCAATTATGTAAATCGTACTTAACCAGAGTACACCCGAGAGACCGGACGTATTTCATAGCGGTCCGGATATATTTCTTTACAAATGATTATAAAATTCAAATTCAACATGTAACATTGTAAATAAATAGTGTTTGGTAGTCTAGTAGTAGTGCTAGCCGTTTTTGTTTTTCTAT